TTGTCTCTGTGTATCTCTGTCTGTGTCTGTGTGTGTGTGTGTGTGTGTGTTCAGGCCGTGGTGACGGTGATGCCGGTGATGTGGAGGGCCGTCGGTCCTTTCGTTATCCAGACAGTCATCAGCTCTTCGTTGGAAATCTTCCTCATGACATTGACGAGGGCGAGCTGAAAGAGTTCTTCATGAGTAAGACCTTTACCCTCTGACCTCTGACCTGCTGATGAGTGTGTGTATGTGGTTTAACACCGCTCTGTTTCCGTCAGCGTTCGGGAACATGGTGGAGATGAGGATCAACACCAAAGGCGTCGGAGGGAGGCTGCCCAACTTCGGCTTCGTGGTGTTCGATGACTCTGAGCCGGTGCAGAGGATTCTGGGATCCAAGGTTTGTGTGAGGAGTCGTCTCAGCTCGTGGGAGCGGCTGGGGTTTGGCCTGCTCACATTAGATTCTGACAAACGTCATTCATTTCCAGTGGAGAGTAGTGCGGGAGCTGCATGGAGCTCTGATCGTGTGTGTATGCAGAGGTTTCTGATCCGATCTGAGCTTCAGATGCGTTCGGTTATTTGAACTTCTGCGGCTAGACCGTATGCGAACAGATGCGATGATTCTAATCAAAACTAGGAGCGCGAGGTCAGAATTACCAATATTTCCCACTTTATAACGTTATTCTGTAAACACTATTTCTGTAAAATGGCGGTTTATAATAATTATGGCAAAAATAATTATTTTATAATTATTAAATCATAATGTACGTTGATTAGCCCCATAAAACTACTGTGTTTTTATTTGGGGGGGGTCATTTGTTTTGTGTGGATATATTCATACATTCATTATATTCATTAAAAACAAAAGGAGAAATGCCACAATCACATCTTGATGAATAAATCACTGAATCGTTGACTCACTCGATTCACTCCGTAACGAATCACCGCGGTGTGTTGATCAGAGATGCTCCGTTCTGCTCTGGCTTGCATTAGAACTATTTCCATTGGTGAAAATTAAGCAAAATGGACAATGTTGACAATATTACGTCTAAAATGCAACAATATTAACTGCTTGTTTATTGAACTGTTGTATAAAATCAATATCTCATTAGCACTCGTGCAGATATTGGTGAAAACTGCACTCTTGCTGGTGTGATATTGCTAAACTATATTTGCATTCATATCTTTATTTTTTTAGGCTGATATAACTGCATTGTAATAGGCGTCATCACAGTCATCCTGCATCGTGTTCATCAGAAACTGCATGCAGGGTTTTTCCCACAATTAATTGCACCAAGTGGAATGTGTTAAATACATTTGATTTTCATTTCTGTGAATCAGTTCAGACGCAGTCAGGGTTGATTCAGTGTTCACTGGAGTCACTTATTAAACAAACCACTGATTCTAAATGTTTCCTGAACGAACAGGAAGTCAGCGTTTCCTCTTTCCTGTCTCCTGCAGCCCATCATGTTCCGCGGGGAAGTGCGTCTGAACGTGGAGGAGAAGAAGAGCAGAGCGGCGCGCGAGCGGGAGACCAGAGGAGCGGCGGAGGGCCGGCGTGGGCCCCGGGGCCCCCTGGGGAACGGACTGGGGCGTGAGCGAGAGGCCCGGGGGTCCTCCAGGGCTGGGATGGGCGCGGGGCGAGAGAGCCGCTTCACAGGCCCCCGCCGCTGAACGCTGATGAAGTCCTCTACTCGTCTGATTGGTTTTGTTTCTCTCGTGTCTCTCTCTGGCTTTCGGACTCTGACCGGCCCTCACAGACTCTCAGACTCGCGCCGCGCCGAGATCATCTGCGCTTTCCTTTGTATTCTCCTCATGATTTTGCGAAGAAGAACAGGACAGTGTGATATTTTTTTTCTCTAGAACAGAAGCTGATCTCTCACGGTTTATAACGGATGAGCGGCAGCGCTTCATCAATCAGTGCTCAGTGTACACTTATTTATTTTCCTAGTGAATAAAGCGGTGGTGGTGCCTTAACTCGTGTCTCTCCGTCTGTGTGTGTCTCGCGAGTGTCGAGGTGTTAGCGGTTCACAGATGCTGAGCTGTGAGCTGGTTTAATCCGCATTGGTTCTGGTCTGGAGTCGGTTTTCTTTGCATGGCTCTTCTGGATCGTGCTGCTCTTTCCATTGATTTCCGGAGCGTTTCTCGCCACACTGTCCGCTGCGTTTGGTTCTGGGTTCAGACTGGACTTCAGTCGGCTTCAGCAGGTTTTTGTTTGAATGTGTTTTCAAGTTTCAATAAACTACTGAAATCTGCAAACTCGTTGAGTTCGCTTGTGTTTATTGAAGAGTCTAGATTCCTTTAATATCTCATCGTCTTGCTGTAGGGATTTTGCTTGCACTGTAACAAAAACAAAAAATATATATTTTCCAGTTTACATATGAACCTGTGGCGTTGCTTTGGGAGCTTAAGCCCCTGATCTTTTTGAAGATTGATTAAACCAGTTGGTTTATTTTTGTAAAATGGTCTTTTGTGTGATCATCCACGCATGCAAAGTTGGTTGATTACATTCCTGCAATAAAGTAATAGCCTAGTTAACGATTAATTGTTTACACGGGTTATATAATGTATTTTATATTCTTTAGGCACTCACAGGCTGTAGTTTTGTAGCAATTCAACATGCCATGGAGTGTCAATCTGACTTGACATTTTCTTATATTGATATGTATTTCTTGCTGAAGTTCATCGGGCTCTTATTGATTGTCTGTCATCTCTGAACATCTGAAGGGCTTTCACACGTTTACACACGGCTCTCGATTCTGACTTGTGCTTGCTCTTATGAAGATGTTGTTATAATAAGGCTAACCTGTTATTCATTACCAGGCCAATAATGACTTTTATTAATCTATGTAGCATTTGTTATGAAAAACTACAGCTACAACATGCCACCATTCTAATATAAATCTATAGGAAAAGTATCTGTTATAAGTAAATAAGCCTACAATGAAACGTGATCAATTCTGGTAAAGGTGGCCATGAGTAGTTTAAAAAGATTTTAATATGTTATTGTTAGTGTTGTTAACTCTTTTCATCAGTCTTTTTATTTAGTCTTTTTTTTAGATAATGTTCGGCTTTCTCCATGGCATTTTAAAGTGGTATTTTCTCAATAGAATTGAAATAAATCACACATTTTACCAGCGGCTTCGCGACAGTAAAGATGTTAACCCAGCTGACAGTTATCTATCTTCACCTGTAAAAGTGAACAGAGCACCGCCCTCTTCATCTGATTGGCTGAGGAGGAGCTGTCAATCTAGGACTAGTGGACCAATGAAGACGCTTAAACCCGCCCTGATTTACATGAAACTAACTGAAACATTTGGAAGAGCACGCGCAGAACGTGGAAAACAGCAGAAGCATACAAAAAATAAAAATATCAGCAGAAATTTCTGCGAGCACAAAAAATAGAGAAATATAACCAAGGAAAACATGATTTTGTGTGCAAGTCGGATAATTGTGCATTAATATTTCAGTTTTGTGCAACATGATTTTAAATGTTTAAAGTTTTGATTCATGCTTATTTTTTTAAATGCGAAACATTTTTTATTTACACTATTTTTTAGATCCTTGATATTCCGAAAACTTTGCTTTCATTTTTAAATTTTGTGCAATATATTTTACTTGCGTTTTAAAATTTTGGTTTCATGCTTATTGTCTTTTATCCGTGTCTGCAGTACATTAGGCGGGAATCTGATCCCATAGGTTACTGTTAAGTGTTAAGGATGGTTGTTTTTTGATGTAATTTAACCTTGTGTCTTGTGGTGTGCTGGAAACAGCTCGTCTCTGCACGCGTGTCAGTTGTGTTTGAGGCTACAGTAGCTGTGCTTTATAGGAGAACTGTTCTTTTACAAACACAGATAGTAAAGAGTTTCCTATATGCTTATACAGTGTATGGTCTGTGTATGAGAGATCAATGTGAAGATGCATGTTAACCAGCTAATTATTACAGTAATCTGAAATAAATCCACATGGGATCAAAGGGAGACAGGTGCTGTGTTTGTCGCTATGGGTTGTCCATACGCGTCTCTCAGGCGTTTGATTGACAGCCTCTGCGCGACCGTCGGTTTCTATGGATACGGTGTTGTTATTTACGCGCTGCGCGAGCACTCATCAATATGCCGCTCATTCTTCCGTCAATAATCCCGTTAAAGCGTCTTTAATAAGCGCATGAGATCATATTTCGAGCGTGGAGCGGTCCTTCGCTCGTGTGTTGGTGTGTTTCCGCTTCTGCGCTGCTGTAACGATGCATAAATACGAGACTCTGGGCTGCCTGGGCTCCGGGAGCTACGGGACGGTGCTGAAGTGTCGACACCGGGACACCGGCAGAAGCGTCGCCGTGAAGAAGCTGCTGGAGGAAGATGAGACCGTGAGGAAGATCGTGGAGAGAGAAATCAGACTGCTGAAGGTCCATATTGTTTATTATTATTATTATTATCTATACGTGCTGCCTTTCTTATATTTTTATTTATTTATTTAGTCATTTATTAGAGGCTTTTATCCAAAGCGACTTACAAATGAGGACAACAGAAGCAAGCAACTGTAGTATTAAAACAACTAAAAACAGATCCAAAACTAAAACTTTATAAATACTACCTATACACATTTTAAAAATAAAGAGATTAAATAAAAATGACAAATGCATACAACAAAATTTCAAAACTTAACATTTAAATGAAAAACAAAAACTAGAGCTAAAAACAATTCTAAATATTAAAGAACAAAAGGTAAGAGTATAATAATGATTCTAACATAACACTAAGCCAAACACCAAAAAACAACTACATATGTGTGTATGTACAGCCACACACACACACATATACTGTATATACATACACATTTATAAATTCAATATATATATTATTTCATTTCCATTTAGTTTGTTGAAGTATTAAAATAACTCAAATTAAATAAAACTAAAACTTAATGAAAGACCTATACAGACATAATAAATTCAGACATAATGCAACTAAAATTAAAATAAATAACAAATACAAATAATACAAATCAAAGTACATTAGTTTATCAGTAATCCTAAAAAATAACACTGCCAAACACACATGCTAAAACACAACAATTACTGACACATAGTAAGAAATGGTTATAAAAACTGAAACTAGTAGTAGGAAAGAGGAGAAATAAAAAGCGATACGGTCAGGGTATATTCTGGCAAACTGTTTACCAATCACGTTTAGCAATCAGCAAACTGGCACACGCCACACCAACACGCGATGGGTAACTCGCAAAGCACAATGTTCCTTCCTGTTTTCCAGCACGATACCATTGAAAGTACGAGGTTTGAGGAGTAGGAGGCGGGGCAACAGTTAAAAAATGTCAAAGATAAAGTTAATCCAAACAGATATTAATAAACAAGTTTCAGTCAAATATTTATGGTTATAGCAAAATCCAGTGTTAAGCGCAAACAATTATATTTGGAACATTAGAATATTGTATCCAGTATGCACGGTCACTTCCGCATATTCTTTCCGGAGCTAAAGAACACGATTTTTTTAGGGATCACATGCATAGTTATGTACAATAAAGAGTACAATATACAATAAAACACAATATAAGAAAAATCAGAGATAGTTTAAATGTCCTTTGAAATAACGCTGAGCACGTGTACCCTGACCCGATACTTATCCTCTGCCGGTGTCCAGCCCGGTGGAGTCGCACGGTCGAGTCGATGCTCTTTACACTCTTCGGTCTGCACACGACGGCTGCCGCGGTAAACTAAGCTTTTTTATACCCGTCTAACAAAATACTACATTAATTCAGCTGGACACACTTTCCTTATTTTCTCCACAACAAATGGCCAAGCAAGCGCAGACAAGATACGCGATACAGAACGAGACCAAACGTATCACATATCAGCACGTCTCCACACAGTAAACAAAACAAGTGTTTCCTAGCAACGACGTTATTTATATATCTTATATATAATATATGCGTTATACATGTTATAATAATAATAATCATTATTATTATTATTGTTGTTAATAGAGGACGTGGAGAGATCGTTGTTCTTAACGCCGTGTCTACACCGGATGCCACAGTTGTCTCTCTGTGCCGCAACAGCTAAAGTCTGTCTACACTGGACGTGATAAAGTGACCGTTGCTAATCATTTGAATTCTGTGTCAGTACGTCATCAACAGAACGCGGCAGCAGTTTACTGGCGGGGATTTGTCGCGTCGCATCCAGTGTGGACAGCATCACTGATTATAATGGGTTCTATAGTGTTTCGCCGCGCCGCGTCCGGTGTAGACCCGGTGTAAGAGTTATACTGATGATACACGGGGCAACATTAAGCAGTGTTACCGTCAGCGGGCAACCAGGTGAGACACAGGGCCCACGAGTAGGGTTGGGTATCGTTTGAATTTTATCGATTCCGATTCCAATTCTGCTTATCGATTCCTAGTTTCGATTCCAATAAGATAAAAAATCCAATATAAAAAATTTTTTTTTTATTTATTCTTTTTATTTATGCTTTTTTTTACAAAGCATTCTGTTGCAGCTGAATAACACGAGCAACAATCAGCAGCCTACAGAACACTGCAAGAGGAATTCTGCCTATGATTTAAAAAAACACCACAGCAAAAACAACTAGATTAATATAACTTTAAAATATTAAAGTGTTAAAGACAAGTAAACAGTCAGTAATAAGATAGGAACAAACAAATCAATTAGCAATATCATAAATAAATACAACTCAACAAAATTTCAGGTACAGAAACTGTAATTAAAAGTTTAAAAACACTGCATAGTTTTCTTTTCATAAATAAAATATAGATTGATTCCGGTTCCGATTCTGCTTATCGATTCCGATTCTTATCGATTCCTAGTTTCGATTCCAATAAGATAAAAAATCCAATATAAAAAAAAATTAAGTCAAACATTTAGATGTCAAACATTTATTCTGTCTTTTTACAAAGCATTCTGTTGCAGCTGAATAACACGAGCAAAAATCAGCAGCCTACAGAACACTGCAAGAGGAATTTTGCCTATGCTTTAAAAAAAATACCACAGCAAAAACAACTAGATTAATATAAATTTAAAATATTAAAGTGTTAAAGCCAAGTAAATAGTCAGTAATAAGATAGGAACAAACAAATCAATTAGCAATATCATAAATAAATACAACTCAACAAAATTTCAGGTACAGAAACTGTAATTAAAAGTTTAAAAACACCTCATAGTTTTCTTTTAATAAATAAAATATAGATTAATCAATTAAAGTTATTAAATATATTCAGTCAAGATCAGTGAATGATTTTCTTCTGTTCTTTGATTAATATTAATGACAGGCAGCGTGTTTATGAGGCTGCTGTCTCTTTAACACCGAACACACACAGATCTAAAAACACTGTACATGTGTGTTTTCTTTCTCATCTGTTTACGTTCACGTAAGACAAAAATGGCTGTGTTTATGATGATATACTGACCTAGTTCTCTGCATATTGGTCGACAAATATAAAAGAAGTCAGTTTCGGCCCGGAACAACCTTTTCTACAGTGGAAATACACGGAGCGGTTCGAGAACGGACACAAACCGGGAACCCGTACCGATCTCTGTGCTCGCTGCACGCAAACAAGGGCGCACGTTCTTTCCGTTCCTGCACTTAAATCGTTTTTAATCACATTAAAATGCGAACGCAGGAATCGTTAAGCAGAATCGAAATGCACGCGTCTTATCGAATACCCGGTTCTTGGAAATTTGGAACCGGTTCTAACATGGAACCGGTTTTCGATTCCCATCCCTCACGAGCGATCTAAAGTATCCAGACAGACATTAGGGCCTTTCGCACCGCGGGAACCTTTTCATAGTACCAGAACTAATTGTGGAACTACCCACTTTTTGCCGTTTTCGCACCGCCGGAACTGGGTGCTTTTTTAGTACCGTACTACCTTACTCATTCTCAGTGAGAAAGTGCCCAAGCAACATTGCTCAAACAGTTTCCCCGTGTATCATCACCTTAATGTGAAGAGGACAAAATGTCAAGATTACTACACATGCGGGTGCTTCCAGTAAACACTGCAGCAGTATTTCTTTGCTAACTCAGCTGGTTTCTTAACTGGTTTTTGCTAACTCAGCTGGTTTTAGCTGTTTTTTTAACAGTTTTTTTTCGTCTAAATCAGCTGGTTTTAAGCTGATTTTTAACTGTTATTTGTTAAATCGGCTGGTTATAGCTGGTGTTAGTTTTTAACTTTTTTGTCTAAATTGGTTTTTAACTGGTTTTAGTTAACTCAGCTGGTTTTTAACTGGTTTTCTGTCTAAATCAGCTGGTTTTGAGGTGATTTTTAGCTCTTATTTGTTAAATCAGCTAGTTATAGCTGGTTTTTAGCTGTTGTTTATCTATCTGTCTGTCCATCTAACTGTTTTTCTTATAGACTTTATTGCCTTCAAAACATTCAAACTTTAATCTTTAAAATTACTTTAAACTTCAAACTACTACAAACTAAAAACCTTCAAACTTCTAGCTTCTAAAACTCTTTCAAACTTTCTGGTCTGGCTTTCTCAAGCCAACTTCAGAGTTTGTCTTGACAAACTAGTTTCAAAACGATCTGTGCTCCTTTCCCCCCTCAGTCTATGATTGCTCTGTTCTCACCGAGAGAATCAGATGTGCAGCTGGTGATCAGTAACCCGTCTCTCGTCTGTGGTTTGTACAGTAGATCAGTTCCCCAGCTCACAGGGAACGCTCTGGCAGCGTTATGAACAAGCATTCTTCCAGTAGCGTTACTAGGACATTCATACGAAGTTATCTGGTCGTTAATAACATGTTCGCACAACAGCATATTTATACATCGCTAGCAGAACATTTTCATCTAATGGTTTCTAAATCTTCTTGTTTCAGAAAGCTCTGAAAACAATGTTGCGTAAATGATTATGAAATGAGATGTTTCCTCAATGTTCGCATAAGAAAGTAAACATTTAAAGGGGTCCTATTATGCTTTCACTTTTTCAACTTTAGTTAGTCTGTAATGTTGCTGTTTGAGCATAAAAAAGGTCTGCAAAGTTACAAAGCTCAAAGTCCACTTCAAAAGGAGATATTTTATTTAACAGAAATCACTTTTCAAAAACTACAACGATCGACTCGTTTGGACTACATCACATATTTTCCGGCATTTGTGATATCACAAATATGGACGAATGGGATGAGACCTGGTTGAGCTGCACTAGAGAAGGCAAGGAGTGTTATCACTATGTCGGAGACACGCTAGCTTTCCCAAGACAGACGAACTTAGAGTGCTTACAATCATCCGGGTTTAAATCGTGCTCAAACTGATTTGATATTGACGCAATATTTACACTGAAGCTCACAGGCGGCTATGGTAAGGGGCATAACATTTCCCGACCAGGTGCCGAGTGCTGCCAATCACAACACACACTGGCCCAGCTAAACAATCACAGCACATTTCGTATTTCAAAAGGCGGGCCTTCATTTGATACAGGAACTATTCGAGCCATTCATGCCAGACTGAGGAGAGAGGTGTTGTAATAATGTAAAATATGTGAAAAATAATGTGTTTTTCGAACAACCTAGTATGAGAGCCTGTTCTAGTACACCCCCAAAACAAAATCAAGATGTAAAATATGTGGAAAATAATGTTTTTCGAACAACCTAGTATGAGAGCCTGTTCTAGTACACCCCCAAAACAAAATCAAGACTTTGTAAAAGAGCATAATAGGACCCCTTTAAAAAACTGGGTTAGTCAGGTGATTGTTCTCACTGTTCTCCTTTAATCATGTAGCATGTTGTAGGTTCTTACTGTGCAGCTGACCGCTAGCGGTTTTATCTGAACTGTCACCGGGTGCTTGACAAGTGTGTTCATTTCCTTCACTGTGTGTGTGTGTGTGTGTGTGTGTGCAGCAACTGCGGCATGAGAATCTGGTGAATCTGCTGGAGGTGTGGAAGCGCAAGCGTCGCTGGTATTTGGTGTTTGAGTTTGTGGATCGGACGGTTCTGGATGAGCTTGAGCAGTTCCCATCCGGACTGGATCCGCTCAGAGTCCGAAAGCACCTCTACCAGATCCTGAGAGCCGTGTCCTTCTGCCACCAGCACAACGTGAGCCGCTGCCTCTGTCTCTGCTCTGCTCTGCATCCGTCGTTTCTCTCCAGTGATCAGTGTGTGTCTGTCAGATCATCCACAGGGATGTGAAGCCCGAGAACGTTCTGGTCTCTCAGCTCGGCGTGGTCAAACTCTGTGACTTCGGTTTCGCTCGGACGATGGCGGCCGCTCCTGGCGAGGTTTACACCGACTACGTGGCGACACGCTGGTATCGAGCTCCAGAGCTGCTGGTGGGAGACACCAGATACGGGAAGTGAGTATCCAACAGACGGAGAAACACGGGAGATATTAGCATAGACGTCATGTTTAAGATCAGGATGAGTTTGTTTCTTCATCAGGTTTGTAGAAATGTAGCACTGCATCAGTGTCTCAGCAATGGATGCTCTGCAGTGAATGGGTGCCGTCAGAATGAGAGTCCAAACAGCTGATAAAAACATCACAATAATCCACAAGTAATCCACAGCACTCCAGTCCATCAGTTAACTCCAAAAAACCATCATGAGACACTGACAGGAAGAGCAGGACACATGATGTAGACATTGACTGGATTCTGTGAGCAGAACGAGAGTGTGTGTGTGTGTGTGTGTTTCAGGGCGGTGGATGTGTGGGCTGTCGGGTGTCTGTTCTTCGAGATGTTAACAGGTGATCCTCTGTTCCCGGGCGACTCTGACATTGACCAGCTGCACCTCGTCATCAGTTGTTTCGGTGAGTTCTGGTTTGTGTTTGTTCCTCTGGACTCTGTGTGATCCTCCATCGCTGCAGGTGTTTCTGATTCGATCTGTAAGAGCTTTGAGGATCTCTGGTTGACTTGCTCAGTGTTCAGAAACGAGGCTAATGTGATATTTGCATTGCAGCTCTGTATTTGTAGAGCTAAAGCTGTTCTGGCTGGTCTTACTCCAGGTCACCTGACTCCTCGTCACCGCGAGGTCTTCTACAGGAACCCGGTGTTCATGGGAGTTTGTCTTCCAGAGCCGGCGGAGAGAAACCCGCTGGAGAGCCGCTCGCTCAGACTGTCTGGACTAGCTCTGGATCTCGCTCAGGTGAGTGTGAGTCTGATCTGACGTGAATCGGTGAGTGTTTGGTGCACGACTGACGCCGCGCTCGTCTCGTCTGCAGAGATGTTTGCAGATGGATCCAGACAAGCGCTCGCAGTGTGCAGATCTGCTGCTGCATCTGTACTTCACCAGAGACCGCTTCCACCTGCGGTGAGTTCATCTTCTGAGCCCAAAGTCTAACCCTCACAGAAACACTTTTGATTTTTACCTTTACAAACAAACATAATTTACTGAGTTTATTCACCTAGTTCCCACTGATTTGTCCCTACAGTGTCAATGATCTCAGGTTTCTGTTTTTTCCCCTAAATTATATAATTTTTCTTCTCTTATTATTTTATTGTGTTGCAAATTCTTCAGATTTATATAAATTTCTTACTTTTTTTCTTAATGTTTTTTCCCCTACTTTCTATTATTTTATTTTGTTCTGTGTGGCGAGTCGTATCAAGCGTTTCACTGCATGTCGTACTGCATATGGTTGTGTATATGACCAGTAAGACTTTAAACTTAAAAAAACTGAAACTAGTTAAAGGATTTAAAGGGATTTACAGAAAATACTGAAAAAAAGAACATTATATATATATATATATAACATTATATATAATATATAACAAAAGACATTTATTGTAAAGTAATCCATTTGAAGTTTTTTTTTAATATGCACGCATGCACTATTAATCATATGCTGAAAATTGTCTCTGTTAATGTTTCTGGTCTGGACACACGCAACAGATGTAATGACAATCAGACTGTTTTATCGTCAGCTTTCAGCAAGAACTGGCCAGTAAGACACACAAGGACCTGAAGGAAAACAGCAGAGGCACTAAAAGCTCCAGGAGAGAGAAGGAGAAGCGGGACATGCAGAGATCGACTCCTGACGCTGTTCAGGTGAGGAGCATGCACCTGTCAACCAAAATCAGCAGCAGCTGCACGCTTAAATCTTATTGGTCAGTGATTCTTTTTCATCAAAACAAGCAACTCAGCATTGGGCTGTTGGATGAATTTGGTCTGCGGTGTGAAGAGATTTGTGTACGTGTCTACATTTGATCTTCATGTGTGTGTGTGTGTGTGTGTGTGTGTCAGGACTCAGACCTGCGGCTCAGTGAGTTCAGGCCGTCTGATGGCGAGGACAGTGACATCACAGCCAAGCTCCGCCCAGACAACACAGAGCCAATCAGTGAGCCTGTGTGTCAGGCAGGAATCCCGCCCATCTCCACCGACTCACCAGCCACACACAGCCTCAGGTGACACTCCCATCATGCACTGCTGCCACAGTACATCCTCAATCACTGCAGTCTAATTACTATTAGCTGATGTGTGTCACATGATCAAAACGACGCATCATTTGTTAATGTGCTTGTGTTTGTTTAAAGGTCGTTTGATAAGATGAAGAAGCAAATGAACGTGTTTCCACGGCCGTCACAGCAGAACCTTTCTGTTCACCTCAACACACAGGTGTGTGTGTGTGAGTGTGTGTGTGTGATCCTTCCTTCATCGTTGTGAGTGTATGTGTGTGTGTCTGGTCTATAGGTGCCGTCGGAGCACAGCAGGAGTCGATACGCTGCAGTGCCTGCTGGGAAAAAGATAGCAGAGCTGCGTTTCCCTGAGCTCAGAAACACACTGCTACCCGAGCTGAGAGCAGAAGGTGAGAGAGAGAGTGTGTGTGTGTGTGTGTGAGAGAGAGAGAGAGAGAGAGAGAGTGTGTGTGTGTGTGTATGGTCTGCAATAATATCGTAATTGTTATTTTAACGATGTGCGATTTGATATTATCGAGTATATCGCGAAAAGCAAACAAAACAC